TGAGGTCAGTTCCCAGTATCCACATCAAGAAGTTTCCAGGGGATTTGGTACCTTCTGACCTTTATGGGAACCCAAATACATGCACATGAATAAAAATAAAATACATTAAAAAAAAAGTTAGCTATTTCTTGTGGTTTGATGCCTTGGGTATATATTACTGAAACTCCAAGATCATCTATAAACAACAACCAACAAACAAAAGCAAAAACTGTTTGGGGACCTCTGTGTTAGGAGGATGCTAGAGCCAAAAGATGACACCAGGCTCCTGAGTTTCTACATGGAGGAAAGTCACTTACTAATGAAGAACTCCCACACTGGATTAGTAAAATAATAAACTTTTGTTGCATTAACTCTATGGAGCTGGTTATCACAGATAGCATGCATTACCCTAAATGATACACAGAATATGTGGGAATCATTTCCTGAGGCCACAAGTAGTGATAGCAGATAACTCAAGCAATTCCTGACAGTAATGAGCCAAACCACATCCCATAGGAAGCTGCTAAATCAAGAGGAGGACTCTTTCTTTAGACGCACATCTACCCAATATGTCAATACAAGGCTCCCCTTTCCCTCCCGAACTAAGACTGAGCTCAGGGAAAAGGAGAAGAATGTGGACAAGGCAGAGGGCTTTGTTCTCAAACCCTTTCTGTGACTATGATAAAAAAAAACACTCTGGCCACAAGCAGCTTAGAGAAAGAGAGGCTTTGTTTGGCATACACTGCTAGGTCACAGTCCACTGTTGGGGGAAGTCAAGGCAGGGACTCAAGGCAAGAATCTAGAAGCAGGAACCATGGAGGAGCTTTGCTTGGTGGCTCACTCAGACTGCTCCTTAGCTAGCCTTCTTATACAGCCTGGGATCACATGTTCAAGAAACAATGCCACCCACCGTGGCCAGAACCCTCCCATATCAATCAACAGTCAAGACAACCCCTCACAGACATGCCCACAGACCAACCTGGTAAAGACAACTGTTCCTTTAAGACTCTCCCCACCCCCTGTGTCAAGTTGGCAGTTAATCTAATGAAGAAAGACACAAATGAGATTATGTAATAATAATTTAAAAGCATTTTTCCTTCCATCAGAAGGTAAATTGTGTAGGCTTCGTGTTTGTTTGTTATTGAACTAAGTCCCACTAGCCAAGGCTGGCCTTGAATTCATGAATCGCTTCAACTCCTTGAATGCCACGATTATTCCTCCTTCCTGCTTCCTTTTGCTCTGGGTGATGGTCCAGACCATTGGGGTTATCTGCCTGCTGTGTCAGCAGCCTGAGCCCCCATGGTAAAGCTGAAGCGGCCACCACATGCCCGTTAGCCATTTCCTTAGGGCACAGTTGTTACCAGGGAAATCCAGGTTCTATCTTGAGCTCTTATGGGTCTGGAAGGATGGGTAATTGTGCCATGTCTAATCACCTGGGTTCAATCCCTCCTTCCTACAGTGCTGGAGGAGAAAACCAATTCTTGGGGGCTATCCTCTGAGGTCCACACAAGTGCTGCTGTACATGCATACCTTTCACGATGAAATAAATGAATATGACTTGTTTTAAATTTAAAAACAAATGCAACTTCTAAGAAATTCTACACCCCAGGCTTTAAAAAAAAAATTAAAAACAAGCTCAGAATGAAGGTCAAGGAATATTTTTATCTTGTTTTTGTTTTGTTTTGTTGTTTAGAGTTTGAAAGAAACATACCAGATCAGAGCAGGCAAGCAAGCTATAAATCTCAGTAGCTGCTAGGAAGAGGTAGAAGCTTTTTTTTTTTTTCTTTGCTTTTTTGAATTAAAGTGCAAGAAGGCCAATGGGCTCAGCAATCAAGGCATTGGGGATTGGAGGACTTTAGAGAAAGAGTGAGAAAGCCCAGACTGTCGGGGAAAGCGTATAGGCCAGTGTCCAAATGGGAAAATGGAAGAGTTTTATTTTATTGTGTCTCATTTTGTCTCACTGGAATTCAGAAGACGGGCGTGGTGCAAGCCCTGCAGGAGAGGCAGGTGAGGGCTCCAGGGAAGGGCGAGGAAGGGGATTATTATTCCTCCTTCAATACATCTTTAGGTAAACTAGTTTTCAGGAGGGTCAGGCTCCAGGCCAGTCAGTGGCAGGCCCAGCTGCTGACGATAGGGTGTCATGGTCTACTCTCCACCCGGGGCCAGAGGTGGAATCTATTCTTTTGAAGAGGAGGAGGCAACTGACCCTCCACTGGCACCTCCAAGGGTGAAGCTGTGACGTTTTCCTTCCTGGTATTTCCCGGGGAACAGGAGACTGGTGCACAAGGATGGTGAGGGGCGGGGTTCCAGCCAATAGGTTAGGTTCTTTCTACCGTTCTAGCTCCTTTCCTCAATTTTTGCTAGTTTGTAGTGCTGGGTATTGAACCCAGGCCTTCAGTCGTGCTAGGCAAGCACTCTAACACTGAGCCACATCCTCGTCCTCTTTTCAGAAGAACTTTTATCAGACCAGGGAGTGTTTTCAAGTTCCATTTCAGTGAACAGCACTCCCCAAGGGACTGGAATTTCCCCCAAGGATCTCCTGCTGTGGTAGTCAAAAGACTGAAGCCTGGTGTCAGCCACAGGGACACTTCTATCCCTGGGAGTCTACAGTCGTTGCCACTTGCAGGAGAGTGGATCCACACAAGCATGGATCAGTGACGGGCAAGATCCCACCATGACCAGGACTGCCTGGCCATGCATATCCTTTCTCTGTCTAAACCTCAGGCTCATGTCAGGGCCCTGAGGGTGGCCAGACCTCTTCGTTCACCTTCCCACACTGAATGAATTTCCTTTCTTGTTTCCCGTTAGCATGGTAGGGAATCGTTCTAGTAGGCTCCCCGGCTTCTGGGATGAAATACTGGCACAGGGAGGGCAGAGTTTACTTCAGTTTATTTCAGGCTTCAGCCCAGCATTGAGGGAAGCCAGGGCAGGGAAGCCAGGGCAGGAACCTGGAGGCAGGAACTGAAGTACAGACCACAGAGAAGCACTGCTTACTGGCTTGCTGCCAGGCTCATATTCTTATCTAGCCCAGGGATGGCACTGACCACAAGACTGGGCCCTTCTACATCAATTAGCAATCATACAAATGCCCCCACAGCATGTCTACAGTCCAATGTGATGGAGGCAATTCCTCAGTTGCTTCTTGAGAGATGTGTCCAGTGGACAACTGAGATTAGCCATCACGGGGTGGGGTGGTGGCTGGGGCTAAGCTGTTAGGGCTGTTTGGTCCATGGTTTTTTGTCCTGTTCATTCCAGTTACAATTTTGAAACCAGTACCCCTGGGCCTTCTTACCTAGAGTTTTGCCATCAGTCTTCCTCTGGGTGTTTAAAGCCTCCACAGTTTAAGTGTGTCAAAATGTACCACAACTTGCATCAACAGGGCTCAGCTAGGCACCGAATTTCACCTGGGGGAGTGTGGTCACCATCTGGAGGCACTTTTAAGGATCACGCTCAAGGCCTCGGAGTGCACAGGACACACAAACACACACACGTGCACACACTCACACACCAAGGAAATAAATGGGCCAGAATTTCAGCTGAGGTTGAGAAAGCCTAATTCAATTAGTTTGCTCACACAAACTGACCTAATCAGTTCCTCAACTAGAGCAGGCATTCTGTGAGGACAGGGCGTCAGACAGGGCTCTGTCCTGGAACACTGAAGTCATCAAGTAGGTGAGCTAGCTCCCATTAGGTGCCTTCAGAGAGTCACCCCTCCGAACCCGCTCCTAGGATCAGAAGGGTCAGTAAGGTCACAGAAGGTGGGATATGGAGACACCGGCATGCCTGGGATATTTGGGGTGACACAGCTTCACCCAACATGTGCCACAGGACCCAAAGTTTCGGTTCACCTTCAGTTTTTCTGTATAGTCCCTAAAATGCCCTCAGTGTCTCCCTCCATTAAATGAATATTACCAAACAAAATTGTGGTTTGTGTTTGACAATTCACACGTGCCATTTCTAGCAATGGTAAATATATTTCTTCCTCTACCAAAGCACTTTCTTTTTTTAATTAAATTATTTTTTATTTATTACAATTTGCTCACGTTGTATCCCTGCTTTAGCCCCCTCTCTTGTCTCCTCCTAGTCCCACCCTCCTCCCTCCCTCTTCTCCCCCTATGTCACTCCCCTAAACCACTGATAGGGGAGGTCCTCCTCCCCTTCTATCTGACCCTAGTCTATCAGGTCTCCTCAGGACTGGCTGCATTGTCTTACTCTGTGGCCTGGCAAGGCTGCTCCCCACTCAGGGGGAGGTGGTCAAAGAGCCAGCCCCTGAGTTCATGTCAGAGACAGTCTCTGTTCCCATTATTAGGGAACCCACATGGAAGCTGAGCAGCCATGGGCTACATCTGTGCAGAGGTTCTGGGTTCTGCCCAGGCATGGTACAAAGGCGCTTTTTCTTCATCATTATTATTTATCTTTAGTATTTATTTGTTCATCTGGGTTTTTTTATATTCTGGTTTTAGGAGACAGAATCTCATTCTGTAGCCCAGGTTGACCTTAGACTTTCAGCAATCCTACTGCCTCTGCCTCTGGAATGCTGGAGGTACAAACCTGACCACAGGGGTTTGCTTTTAACTGTCTTAAGTGGGGCCAGTAGCCAAAGGTGCGCTCAGTGGGCCTGAAGTGTGTTGCCTACTTCACAATGTCACCTAGGGCACCCTTGGCCAACTTCACAATGTTGCTTTCAGCAAGCCCTGCCCAGAAATGGGGTCTTGATAGGGGTAGATCTGATCTGCTTCTAGCCCCGAACCCCTGTGAATCAGCTCCTGGCCAATGAAGACAGGAAGCCAAGGCCCGGAGGAGTCGAGTTCCTGAGGTTAGACAGGCTAGCACAAAAAGCCCTGATGAGGGACCTGAGAAGACAGAAGGCCACAGAGTCTGATCTGCGTGTAGACAGAGGCATGAGAACCATCATCGCTGCCCAGGCTGCCTCATCCGCTGCCACGGAGGCCCAGGCCACCTTGTACTGATTCTCTAGCTCGGAGCCCCAACCTGTAGGAGGCGGCCAGAGAAAGCGACGCAGCCCCTGCACTTCCCAAAAGCGCTGCTGAGAACTTTCCCAGCCCAGCCCACAGGTGGCTAGAGGGTCAGACCTGACGGAGAGGATCCGCCTCTCCCAGCCCGGGGCTCAGGAGGGCGAAGATTGGTTCCCAAGGCCACGTGAAGCGCCCAAACAGGCAAGACTGATGCCAGAAGAAAGTTAAGATCGCCCCAGCCTCTGCCACGCAGCGCCCTGCTGCCACCCCCAAGTGAGGCCCTTGCAACAGCTGTCACCGCCCGCCCGGCGCCAGCGGGACCTAATCCAACCAAGCGGAGGTCACAGCGGAGGAGCGATGTCCCACCGCAGCCCTGGCAGGAGCCTGGGGCCGTCACCGCCGCCGCTGCGGGGGCCGCTGCTGCTGCTGCTGCTGCTACCCTTACCTAGCTCGGCAGGTGAGCAGAACCCCCCGTGGGCCCGGGAGCCGCCCCGCCCCGTACCCCCAGCGCCCGCCCTCCGCTGGCCAGAGTCCCTCGTTGGCACCCAGGGGAGTCTGGGATTGCTCTTCTTGGTGGGGAGCCTGGCGGGTTACACTCCAGCCCTTGCGGTTCGGCCGCGGGATTTGGGGGCGGGGGGTGGGGGCACAAAGGGCTCTGCCAACTTAAAAAAGTTTTGGCCTGGATTCTCCTGCCCCACCTCTTGGCCCAGACCATCTCGGCTGATCTGAAAGTCTGCAAACAAAGGTTATCTAAGTATCCAGATTTGGAAGGGCAGAGGTGTGATCTGCGGACGGGCCTTTGCTCTGCTTCTAAAAGTAGACAAGTGACTGGCTCAGGAGAACTGGCCGCGGGCTGGTAGTGGCATCTTGATCCGGGACAGGGTCAGAACGGAAAGGTGCTGAGCTCTCTCCTCCTAATGGCCTCATAATCCTGAAGTGGATTAAAGTCTCCGTTCTACAGCCCAAAGACTGGGGCCGAGAGGAAGTCAGGAATTTGCATAAATGATAAGGCAGTCGGGCTGCCGGGAGGCACAGGTGTAACCCTTCCTGGCAGTAAAACAGGTCTCAACTGGTCTCTTCCCAACCTTACCCTTCCATCTGCAAGAAGACCAAAATGAACGGTGGGTTAGGTAGACGTGGAAGATTCCAGAAGTCAAATTCAGAGGGGATTCGTTTGATTTCATAATATTTTCCGTGCGGATCTTGTGCAGGAACAGGCTGGGCCGTGGGCAGTGTTCCCTTCCCCAAATCGCTGGTTTTCTTATCTTCCCTCTACAAGTACCCGCACCCTTCGGGTTTTGAGACATTTGCTTTCAAACCCTGCTGAAGTCATTCTTGTCTCGCATCTTTCCAGCGAGCACAGGCCTGCAGGATCAGAAGGGACCGGTCGGGAAGTGCCGATGTCTCCGCTGATTTACCTGCACCTTACCTCCCCCCCCCCCCCCCCCCCCCACACACACACTTTAGTCTGGGGAAGTTGTGCTCTTCCACAGGCTTTGAGGAGAGTTGAGGGCGCCTGTGGTGGCTCTTCGGATGTGATTTCCTTTGTTCCTTATCAATGAGTTATTAGCACTGTGCCGGAGCTTCCTCAGCCTTCCAGTAGATTGCCTGAAATTCAAACCAGAAACACGGGGACACTGCTCCCAGAAGTACCCAGCACAGTACCGAGTGCTGGGAGCTTTAGCAGCTTCTGTCCTAACGTTTTCTGGGAGGCGGGAATCCACACATTCGCCCCAGAGAGGGCAGCCTGAGCCAGCTCTCTGGCCCACCTCTTCAAATTTTGAATTTAGATTTTATTATTATTATTATTCCAGAGTTCGGCAAATGGTTTTACAGTCACCTCTTCATATTGTTACAGACAGTATACAGATGACACTGTGTCCTCTCGTTGGCTGAAAAGCCCATATGTATTTTTTTTTAGAACATCCTTGTATGGTTTTAATGTGTGTGTGTTCAATACCAGGTATTGAACTCAGGGCTTCATGAATGGTAAAACATGCCACCTCAGCCCCATCCCCACCTCCACCCCCAGCCCACACACTCCACCAACATCTGAGAATAACCTTTTAAAGTGGGGTGAATGCCAAAATCTAGTGGTCGCTAGAGAGAGACCCCTGTTATTCTCAAAACGTAGCACAGTCCTTGGTAAAACTGGTTCTTCATGGGGCCGTATTCAACCTTCCTAGACTCCAGAAGTTGGATGTGATCAGCTCTAAGGGAGCCAATTCACCCTGATGCACAACCCAAGCCTGTTCCCAGACTCATCATTAATTATTCACTAGAAACATAACTGTCAGGCCTCCCTGACACCAAAACACACATGTCCATGTTGCTGTGAGCTAACTCTGGGGGCCTGACTCATCTGCCATCAGGGGCTCTGGGAACTGGAATCAGCCAGAAGGAGCACTTACTCTCCTGGCTGTCATTTAGTCCCCTTAAGGTGTCTTGAGTCCACTCTCAACAAGCGCTTTAACTCTCGAGGTCGGTTTTATAACTGAATTCACTAAGGTGGGCCTCCTGGTTGCTCTACGGGTTTATTTTTATTACCTTTGTTATTATTATCATCTTTATTACCTTTTTTTTTTTTAAGGCAGGGTCTTGCTATGTAGTCCTGGCTAGCCTAGAACTCACTGCGCAGACCAGGCTGACCCAGAATGCATAGAGATCTACCTTATTCTGCTTCCTGAATACTGGACGTAAAGGCTTGAGCCGGCACACTAGCGTGATCCTTTACCCTTAAACGGTGCTCCAATTGCTCCTGTGTGCTGATTTTTCTCGATTTAAAGGGTGGCTAGCGCGCTGTGGCTGAGGTTAATATGTTGCTTCTTTGTACATAGCAAATAAGGAAGTTACTAATAGCGGTAGTGAAATTATGAGGAAATGTTGGTGTAAAACATGTAACTAGGCGCCGTCCACAAAGACCTAGATGTCACACGACATGTGTCAATCTTCCTGCGGGAAGTTGGTGGAGTCTTCTGATTGAGGTTTGAAAACAGAACGAGCAAGTCCCAGAGAGAGACTGACAGCACTCGGAAAGGCCTCCCTCAGACTGGCAGGTACCTGGACCCAGCACGAGGGGCTGACTGAGGTGGGCCTCCTGGTTACCTAAGTATTATTCCCTAAGCTTCTTTGTAAACTCAAGCCTCTGACACCCTGATTCATATGTTGAAATCATGAATCAATAAACGGGAGCCAAAGTTGGGCATGGTGTCAAGGACACCTTTAATCCTAGCACGGGAGGTGGGGGGGAACAGAGGCAGGTGGATCGCTGTGAGTTCAAAACCAGCCTGGTCTACAAAGTGAATCCAGGACAGCCAAGGCTATACAGAGAAACCCTGTCTCAAAACACTAAAACCAAACCAAACTAAACCAAACAACAAAAACAAAAATAGAGGCTAATGAGAAAGCTCAACCAGAAAGGTTCACAGGGCACACATTTGATCTGGGTTTGATACCTGGGACTTACATGAGAGTGCAGGAAAGGGTTAGAGAGACAGGGCAGCAGTTAAGGGCACTGACGGCTCTTCCAGAGGTCCTGGGTTCAATTCCCAGCACCCTCATGACAGCTCACAACTCTCTGTTACTCCAAGATGTGACACCCTCATGCAGACACACATGCAGGCAAAACACCAATGCACATCAGAAAAAAAAAAAAATAGACTGGAAAAAAAAAAAAAGAGTGGGAGGGGATATACCTGACTCCACACTCTACAGAGTTACCCTCTGACTTCTACCTGCTGTGGGTATGTGCCCATGTGTGACACTCCGGGCAGTGTGGCAGTTTGGGATTTAGGTAGCCATGTAATCAAGAAAGAATTGTGCTAGCCCAAGGAAGTGGATGTGGTGACAGATGACAGCCGCCTCCCATTCCCAAGGTGTTTGTGATGGAGATCACTGGACAAAACACACACAAATATGCCTCGTTGATGAGTGCTCGGTGAGAGGTGACTCAGGGTAACAAATCTGCCTGGTGACGCACACTGTAATCCAGTACTCGGGAGGCAGAGGAAAGATGGTCTCCAGAAGTTGGAGACCAGCCTGGGCTACACAGCAAATTCCAGGTCAGCCAGGGCTACATGGTGAGAGACTCTCAGAGAGGGAGTAGGGGTGGACATGGGGAGAACCACATCAGAATGAAGCCAAGTCAATATTCAAGAGGCTAACAGAGAAAGGTGGTTTCAGATTTAGCAAATCTCTGGTCATTCTTGCTTTGTTGCTTCCTAGCCGTTCTTAGGGCCACTGTCCATTTCCCAGCTTCGCAAGGGTCTCCCCTCTGTGCCTTGCCCCAGCTGCACCCCATGGTGCCTTGCTCTCCTCTTCAGAGTCCCTCTAACTGGGAGAGCCTGTGAGTGAGGGCTTTCACCCTAGTCCCGGCATCTTACGTAGGACAGGACCAGGCAGAGGAATGTGTCTATTGACATCCATGTTTGGGGCTTTGTTTGGAAGATGAGTGCTCACTGTGGAGGCCAGGCTAACCTCTGATTCACAGTAATGACTGTGCCTCTGTCTACCAAGTGCTGGGGTTACAGGTGTGAACCACCATGTTCCTCTCCACCCCACTCCCCCATCCTTGGGATGAAGGCTGCAGAAGTTTTTTTTTCCACACACGTTCTCAGTAAGGCCCAGTGAGATCAGTTAGTGGTCTGTAGTCAAGTCATGGGGGGTGGGATCTCTGGCTTTCCCCATTCTTTCTGCTCTCCCAGCCTTTCCATCTATCCCCAGGGAGAATTGGCCCAACCATCCTTCCCTTAGCCAGAGGCATGGGCTTTGATCTCTGCACACAGACAAGCTAAATACCTACCCTTATTTTCTTGCCTGGACACTACATAACTCACAAACCAGTTATTCCCTCATGACCCTGATGGAGACTCAAAGCAAGTCCAGAAGTTAGAGAGCAGTTTCCTGAGGGGCCCTGTAGAAGGAGAAGATACAAAAAATCCCCACACTGGCTACCTGGAGTGTGTCACTAGGCAGGAAGAGGAAGGAAGTCTTAAGGCACATCAAGGAGTGAGCCTGGCCTCAACCCAATTCACACAGAACAAATCTCAGTATTTTCTTTTCTCTCACATACTCCACCTGCTCAGCCTCATTTCTCTCTCCCTTTCTCCCTTTAAAGGACTGATCCATTAGGCCAACATTGTCGCCTAGTATTGAAAGCCACCTTTCCTTCTTCCATAAAATGAGACACTGAAAACTTAGGTTCCAACTATGGGAGTCAACCAGACATGGTAGCTCACCCCTGTAATACCAGTACTCAGAAAGTTGAGGCAGGAGAACTGCTGTGAAATAAAAGGCAGCCTGGGCTACATAGTGAGTTCCAGGTCAACCTGGGTTACAGAGCAATATCCAATCATAGATAGATAGATAGATAGATAGATAGATAGATAGATAGACAGACAGACAGACAGGTAGATAAATGATGGAGAGAATGCATCTTTACAAATTTTAGGGGTGACAGAGCAGAGAATGTGAACAGGCTGTGTCTGGCTCCCGCTCTCACAGACGTTGCTCCATAGAGAGCTCCATAGAGACAGGAGCCGGGGCTAGAGCAAGCTGGACCGGCATTGGGCTACTGTGTGCCTCGTGGACCAAAATCAACTAAACATTGGCAAAGGAGCTCCTAAGAAGCCGAGAGGCAAAATGTCTTCAAATGCTTTCTTTGTGAGGAGGAGCAGAAGAAGAAGCCCCCAGATGCCTCTGTCAGCTTCTCAGAGTTCTCCAAAAAATGCTCAGAGGTGGAAGACCACGTCCACAGAAGAGGAGGGCAAGTTTGAAGACCTGGCAAAGGCCCACAAGGCTCGCTAGGAGAGAGAAATGAAAACCTGCATCCCCCCACCAAAGGGGAGACCCAAAAGAAGCTCAAGGACCCCAATGCACACAAGAGGCCTCTGTCAGTCTTCTTATTCTGTTCTGAGTACTGCCCCGAAATCATAGGAGAGCATCCTGGCTCATCCACCGGCAATGTCGCAAAGAAACTAGGTGAGATGTGTATCACATGCTAGGGACAAGCAGCCCTACCAGAAGAAGGCTGCCAAGCTGAAGAGAAGTAGAAGGATATCGCTGCCTGCAGAGCTAAAGCAAAACTCGATGCCGATCAAAGGGGGTGGTCAAGGCCGAAAAGAGCAAGAAAACGAAGGAAGAGGAAGATGACAGGAGGATGAAGAGGAAGAGGAGGAAGATAAAGATGATGACTAAGTTGGTCCTAGCACAGTTTTTTCTTGTCTATAAAACATTTAACCCTCCTGTACACAACTCACTCCTTTTAAAGAAAAAAAATTGAAATGTAAGGCTGTGTAAGATTGGCTTTTAAACTGTACAGTGCCTTTTTTTGTAAAGTTACCACACTACAGAATGAGTCTTTAGACAGCCCTGTCCTGGTGGTATTCTCAATGGCCACTAACCTGGCCTGGTCCAGTCTGGGGGTCATAAATTGGCATGGAAACTTAAAGCAGGTTGTTGAAGCAGAGCATATATTAGTTATATATGGGGACAGTAGGATTTTCTGTTTTGTTTTTTCTTTTTCTTTCATCTTCAGTTGTCTGTAATGCAGCATATACGAAGATAATTGTTCTGTTAACTGAGTACTACTCTGTAATTGAAAAAAATACAACTGTTTTGTTGCTATTCTGAAATAAATATAATTTTTTTATTTAAAAAAACCAAACTCAGTGGCTGGCACTTTGCCACCCCCCTCCCCTTGAGGAGGGAGCAGCCTTAGCAGGCCACAGAGGAAAACAATGCAGCCACTCCTGAAGAGACCTGATAAGCTTGGGACAGATGGAAGGGGAGGAGGCTCTCCCCTATCAGTAGACTTGGAGAGGGGCATGGGAGGAGAAGAGGGAAGGAGGGTGGGATTGGAGAGAGAATGAAGGGGGGGGGCTGCAACTGGGACACAAAGTGAATAAACTGTAATAAATATAAAAAATAAAAATTTAATATAAAAAAACAATTTTAAGGGTTAAGGAATTTTTTCAATTAAAAATAAGCCCATAAAGAATATAAAGTGCCTAAGAAATGTAATGAGGGCATCTGAGGGTTTTTGTTGTTTTTGTTTGTTTTGTTTTTTTACATGAAAAATAAAAAAGAAATCCATTGGCAAATCCCCCATCTTTATCTTTAAGGAAAGAAAAATACTCTCTAAGGTAGCAGTTTTGTACTGTCTGAAAATGATCACATTTTCAGTTTTGAATGAGTTTATTAAGTAATAAAAGGGGGACACAAAACACCATCACATCGCATTCTCCAGTCACCCAACAGAAACCAACTGAGAAAGCCCCATTAAAGCAGCTAGCTAGAGTTCCCAGGAAAGTGTTCCCCTCTGCTGAGGCTTCCAGACAAAAGAGCAAATAACAGAGAGACAGCATCAGGTCAGACATGGAGCTCAGGAGTTCCTGCAGAAACTGACTGGAGAAGCTGAGGTCTCAGCTGGAGTTCCAAGTTGAGTCTTCTCTCCATGAATGACCATGCATGGCTGAACTTCCATCTCCCTTTCTAGCTGCCGGATCTTTCTATTGTGCGATAGACGGCGCTGACCTCAGATAGAAATGGTTTAATTTCTCAATTTTCTCAAGAACGCGGGGGTTTTAACTCCTGGACTGTCTTGCTGTTATCTTCGCGCCCTGCCACAGGTCAGGGTGGGGAGCCTATCTCCAGAGCTTGGAGGGCTTTTTGAGACAAACATGCTTGGGTCTGAAATGAGGTGGGGGCAACTCCTTTTTCAGCTGCCCCATGAGCTTAAAGAACACACAACAGTTTGACAATAAGGATGTACATTACAGTGGCATTTCTGTTCACTGGGATGCGGATCAGGCATGTTGGCTTTGAAATGGTTACTGTTAAACATGTTTGGATATGATCTTTCATTTCCACAGTTCTAAGAACTCTTAGCCCTTGCCCCTTGGGCTGGATCGACATAAGCAGAGCGTCTAAGCCATCCTTCCAGCCTCTTATGTTTGCTAACAATTACAGGAGTGATGTTAGACCAACCTCTGTGAATGACTTGATGTTTGGATTAAGTTCACTTTTCGTTAGAAGAATGAGCACAAAACTGACAACTGTGCAACTTGAACAGAGGAGGCTGGAGGGTCAGGAGTTCAAGGCCTTCCTGGGCTGTACATGGAATTGGAAGCCAGCCGGGGCTATGTGAGACACCGTCTCAAAGTAAATAGGGCTGGGGAAAGGGCTCCGAAGCTGAGAGCTATAGTTCCTGCAGAGAACTTGAGTTTGATTCCCAGTTCCTACATGGAGGCTTATCAGCATCCTTAACTTCCTTTCCAGGTGACCCAACACCCTCTTCTGACCTCCAAAGACACCAGGCATGCACATGGTCCATGGCCAGACGTGAGCAAAGCACTCATAAAATAAATCTAAAAGCAAGCAAGCAAACAAAAACTTAGAGCACTCAAAGAAACGTCATTTTGGGGAGATAGTGTCCCTTCACAGAGGTGGGCAGACACCATCTCTGCTTTAACAGAGCCGCTGAAAACAAGGTCAGGGTTCGAGGGGTGCAGCAATTCCCCACATCACTTCACTCTTTTCAACCTCCGTCCCCACGCAGAAATGCTCTTCAACAATAGAAATTCATGATGGATTAGCATGCGGAGGAACTTGAAAAAAAATAGCACAGACACAGGCCTGGCAGCTAGCGCTTCTAGCTTCTACCCGCTGAGCCATTCAGCCAGCTCTGTGCTGTTTTCCTTGAGCCACAGCAGGTATCCGACAGCTCAGGAAGGATGATGTTCTACATAGTGCATCCTTTGTCTGAGGCCTGTTTCATTTTCCTCGTTTTTCACAGCCTTTCGCAGTTCCTTGTCTGTCTCTTCATCCAGTGCCTGAGGGTTGAGCCCAAGGCCTCAGGCGTGCTAGCATGTTACCTACCGTGAGTTGTTCTCCCCTCCTTCCTTTCAGTGTTGCTATGTTTTTGGTGCTTTAGGCCAAGCTGGCCTTCACACCTGCTGTGCTTTAGTCAAAGCTGGCCTTGGCCTCTAGACCTTCCTGCCTCCACCTTCTGGACACTGACACTGCAGACTTGGTGTCTTCTGTTGCTGTGATAGAGATGCCTTGACAAAAGCTGCTTAAGGGAGAAAAGATTTCTTCCAGGTCACCGCTCAAGGGTACAGTCCATCTTGGTGGGGAAGTCAAGTGTGAGGAGCTTGCAGCAGCCACTCCCAAGACATCCACAGTCAGGAAGCAAAGAGTGATAAACTCACACAGATGCTCAGTTCCCTCCCTTCATTGTCCCACCGTCCAGGATCCTAGCTGGGGGATGGTGCTGCCCACAGTGGGTAGGTCTTCTCACCCCACTTCACAAAATCATGAAAATTCCCACTCAGGCATGCTCAGAGGCCAGTCTCCCAGGTGATTCTAGATTCTGTCAGGTTGACAGTTGACATTGACCTGTATTGCACAGATGAACATCACTGTGCTGGTCTCCTTCCACAGTTATTTACCAGGCACCTACTATGTGCCAGGTACTACACCAGACCATGCAGGTTTGGGTGTCAAAGAGTAAAGGTGTGCCTATTAGAGGCACTGTCCCACTAGCCATATCTAGCCTGTTAGCCTGTTTAGTTAACAGGAGACGGAATATCAGGAGGAAAAAGTGGCAGGTGCACAGGGAAAGGGCCGGCCCAGTTCCTGACGGCACGGAGAGCTGCATATGTGGTTTCTGTGCCCCAAAGTGCTTGGCCCAGTGATGTTACAGCTGGACACATGGGCAGGAACCAGGTTGTGAGACCAAGAGAAGATGAACTGGATAGTTTATTTTTAAAGATTGTGTGTGTGTGTGTGTGTGTGTGTGTGTGTGTGTGAACCCAGAGGTCAGCCTCAGGTGTTCTCCCTTGAGTGCTGTCCACCTTATTATTTTTCAAGACAGGTCTGCTTCTGGCCTGGAGGCTAGTCTAGCCAGCAGCCTATGGGAAGCCACCAGCGTGCACCCTCCCAGCACAGGGCTTACAGATGTGTGTCCTCATTCCTGGCTTTTATGTGCGTGATCAAGCTCGGGTCCTTAGACTTGCTCAGCAAGTGTCTCACTAGGCCATGCCCCCAGTCTGTGGGACAGAAATCTTTAAAGGGAAATTCTGGACTGTTGATTGTACAGGGGGGAAGGCCCGGGGCCGTCCTGGAGCGGCCTTCCTCATGGTGCTCTCTTCCTGCAGAAGTCTACTATGCAACTGCGTACTGGGTGCCTGACCTGCAGACGGTGGAAATCAAGAATGTTCTGGACAAGAGTGGTGATGCCTATGGCTTCTACAATGTCTCCATCAACACCATAGGCTGGAACGTCCTGGAGATCAGATCTGGGTATGGCACCCAGGAGCTGAGCAATGAGATCACCATGTTTCTGGCCGGATACCTCGAAGGTTACCTCACCGCTCTGTAAGTACCCTGACCCTTTGCTCGCCCAGCGGCGGCGGCTGGATCCTGGTATGATGTGTCAGCAGCTGAAGGCAGCTGGGGTGCACCCGATAGGCTATCAGCACCCACTTGCACCCATAACCAGACACGAAGCACCCAGGTGGGCACTCGTTCATTCTCAGGGCGCTTCTCTTTTGGAATCTTCCACTTTTCAAAAGATTAGACTGTGTGCCTTGTATGGGTGCACATACTTGTCAGTATGAGTGTGTGTGGAGGGGTGCGCACTGCCTGTGTGTAGGCCATGGGCTGGTACGTCCTCAGTTGCTCTCCACTTTAGTGTTCTTGAGACAAGGTTTCTCAATGAGCAGGAAGCATTTTGATTCAGCTAGACTGAACAGCCAATGGGCACTGGGGCTCCTCCCATCTCCAGTGGTCCAGCACTGGGGTGATAATGATATAATCCCTCTGTGTATGTGGGTTCTGGAGATCCAAACCCAGCTTTTTGTGCTTGTGTGACAGGCATTTTGCAGGCAGCCATCTTCCCAGCCACCTTCTTTCTTAGATTAAAAAAAAAAAAAACATTTTGGAAGATAAGAAAACCTTTTTGAATGATGGCGATGTCATGTGACTCAACTAATCATTTGCCTCTGGGTAGAAAAAAGGTAAGATGTGGAATGACTTCCTGAGACAGACAAAGCAGGGAAAATTTAGTGAAAGTAAAATGTAAGGGGCTGAGGAAATGGTTCAGCAGGTAGAGGCAATTGCCGCCAAGTCTGTCAGCCTTCAATTCTGGGGACCCACATGGAAAGGAAAAGAGCCCTCTCTTACACATTGTCATTTCCATACCACGTACACACACACACTTCCACACACACACCATAAATAAATAAATAAATAAATGGATAAATGAAAACGTGATGGAGACAGTTTAAATTAATAAAATGTGAGAGCATTCATTTTCCATTATTTTGAAACAATACTTCCAAGTGATCAAAGATTTTTGAATTGACATTTGAATGAGGACACTGTCCCCGTTTCTCCTAAGCCTACTACCATCCAACCCAGGTGTCCTTCCTTGCCTTGTCTTACAGAAATAACAAGGACATAGTTGATGGTGATTTAATAACTATAAGCTATTAAGATTTTCTGGAGTTCATCTGTAGCAATCTCTCATATACCCCAAGCTGGTCTTGAACTCATTGTGATGTTGAAGATGACCTTAAACTTCTACTCTTCTTGCCTCCACCTTCCAAATTGCTGAGCCCATGAGCATGGGCCACCAGTTCCAGGGTCATGTGGTGCTGGTGTCCAGGCCAGGCCCTCAAGCACTCTGCCAGCTTCAAGCTACCGACCTAGCTGTGTCCACAGTGCAGTCTGTTGGCTTGGAATGGTCTCATTCCATCTCCCCCTCTAGCCATGACTGGCCTGAAATGCATCAAGCAACCAGGCTGGCCTCAAAAGGCAGTGATCCTCCTGCCTCAACCTCTCCCGAGTGCTTTAGAGAGAAAGGGCTTAAAGGGAGAGAAGTTGTATCTCATTCAGTCACATCACATTTGATAGAAAACCATCTTTCCAACTTGGCTCGCTTCTTTTATTCTCTGTGACCTAGTTAAGTGCAGTTTAATCTAACGTTTTTGGGGCGATGAGACCCTAGCTGTGATAAGTTCAGGTCTTAATTTCATTCCGAGCCCTTGAGATGGTATCAGCTCTAGCCTCCAGCTCTTGCCATTATACTGCAAACTCCTGTCTTGTGTGTATTTGTGTGCCTGTGTGTATGCCTGCCTGTTGCGGCCAGAGGTCCACGCTGGCGTCTTCTATTTCTCTCCATCTTATTTTGAGACACAGTCACTTACTGAACCTACCGATCACCAATTCAGCTAGACTGGCTGGCCGGTGAGCTCCCTGGATCTTATGTCTGTGTGTACAAGCCCTAGAATCACGGGCCTACAGGGCCAGACCCCAGCATTTTACATGTGTGCCAGGGAACCAAACTCAGGTTTTCATTCACGCACTGAGCTAACTTCTCAGCCTGCTTATTAGCAATTTTATTCTGTACATAACCCTAACATTCAGAAGTGTAGAAAACCTTTATCTTGAAAAGATTTGTTTAATTTGACATGTATTTTTCGTGCATGCATGTAAGCATACCTTGTGTGTGCAGAACTTGTGAAGGCCAGAAGAGGGCGTCTGGAACTGGAATTACCATGTGGGTGCTGGGAACCCAACCCAGGTCCTCTACTCTTAACCACTGAGCCAATTCCCCAGCCCCTCGGAAATATTTTAAAAACATGTTTAAAGCTATACTGTATGTATAAATCCAACTCCTCAGCTCTCCTCTGACTCGTTAGTCCCTCCTTCTCCACTTAGCTCTGGCTGTGCTATTTTAACTGAGTTGCAAGTTTGAAGAAATAATTCAAACTGGAATTGTTTGACTATAAACATATAAGGTTAAGTTGTCAATGACATTTACAGGGGCACTGAGGGTTCGGAGGGACCAGCGTGGGTCGAGGGATGAGCTTAAGACAAGCATATCTTCCTTGGGCATTTCCCCTGAGACCACGGTTGGAAAGAGGCCTCGAGGTCCGGCAGGCTGCTGGCTGGGTGGGTGACGGCGTTCTCGTGTTACAGAAAATGTGTTCCAGAGCCGCACAGCGGACACTTCAGGGTATGGTAGGGTTGCAGTTAGGGTATGGTGATACAGAGATTGGCCAGTCTCTTCCTCCCTAGTGAGTGCTGGAGTTAAAGGTGTCCATCCTGTGCTCTCCCTGCTAAATTTCATTTCTTTTTAAAGCAGGTATGATTTAGTAGCTAAGCTTTGTTTCGCTTTTAATTGGTTGGTTTTGTTTTGTGCTGTTTTTGAAGTCTCATTGGACTTAATTTCTTTTGGTGTCTTTATTTGTTTGTGTGCTTGCTTGCTTGCTTGCTTGCTTGCTTGCTTGCTTGATTTTCTCTTGAGAAAGGGTCTTTGCTGTGCAGCCCTGGCTGTTTTGGAACCCTGGCCGTGTTATCCTCAAACTCACAGATTTGCTTACCTCTGCCGCCTCCCAAGTGGATGATCTGGGCATTGTCACCGCTGCAATGAGCATCCTGTGAGAGTCCTGTAAGTCCTGTAAGTCCTGTAAGTCCTGTAAGAATGCAGAGTCCCAGGGAACAGACACTCCGGAAAGCGCTGCTCCGGCTCTGTCATCTTGCTTACTGAAAGGCAGACACAGACAGGGATTTGAGCATAAGGGTGTGTTTGGAGCACCTTTGCGCCGCGCTCAAAGCTGTAAAGAGCGGGCTGCTATGTTAGCGACCAAGCAAGCTTCACACCAACGCTTGGCTGGAAGCTGCGGATCGGTGTGGCCTTGCCCATTTGCTTCGTCCTCCTCTGATGTGACCCTAGAGATGTCTACTGTCCAAGGGCTGGCTGGTAAAGAAGGCTGGGTTCACAAGGGCAGGAGCTCCAGCCGGGAGGCACAACCTTTTGATGGTAGCAGGACTCCTAGGAATACAACTTCTAGACTGAAGGTATCACAGCGCGATGTAGCCGCTGAAAGGATCCCTGCCTCCCTCATCTCCGCTATGGATCGGAAAAGTTGCTCACGGTCTAGGGCCAGGATTGCATTTTGAATGTAAAATGTCCCCCGCAGGTTCATGCGTTCAAACATTCGGTCACCAGCCGGTGAGCCTGTCCGGGAAATTTGTGGCAAGCTTCGGAAATAAGGCCTCTACCAGCAGATGCTCCTTTGTAGGAGTCACGCTGGAGGCTTAGCGCTCAGCCCCACCCACTTCCTACCCTCCTCCCCACCAGGACCTGCAGAGCCCCAGCCTCGCGCTCTTCCTGACACGAAGTCCACCCCACCTTCCACACTGTGTAGGCCGTGCCCTCTCAAACCATGGCGCCGTAATAAATTCTTCTCCCTTGAAGTGCTTTCCCGGGTACCCCGTCTCAGGAGCAACCCATCACCGTGCGGGCTTCTGCTTCACTTCACTGTCTTTTACCCTTGCGGGTACACAGGTTCTTATGTAGCTTGGCACAAAACTCGCACTGTAGCTAAGGAGGACCTTAAACTCCTGATCTTCCTGCCTCTTACTTCCCAAATTCTGGAATTACAGGCATGTGCCGTCCTGCCCAGCTAAATGATGTCTTTCATATTTGTGGGGGAGGGGCGCGTGCGCACAGATGTGCAAGTGTGTGCCGAATGTGTGTGGATGCCTGCTGAGGCCAGAAGAGGCCATCAGATTGGAACTGGAATTACAGGGGTTCCGAGCCACCTAATATGGGTGCAGGGAACCAAACTCAAACCCTCTACAAGATCAGGAAACAACACTAAGTACGGACATCCCTCCATTCTCCGGTGATGGCTTCTTGATAAAATGTTGTATGATTGTATCCCCACTGGCTTACAGCTCCATCTCTCCCCTCCCGCATCTGCAGGATCTTGGAAGTAGGGTCCCTGCCTGAACCCCGTTTATGTCCCCAGAAACTGGGCCAGGCACTTCACCCACAGCTGAAAGTACACGCTCATTAGTTTTAATTGACTCCTGTTGCTTCAGGTGATGAATCAGAAAGACGAGGCCTGCCTTTCCCTGTGCTACAGAGGGTTGCAGCCCCAGCCAAGCTGGGCTTCTTTGTTTTTGAACTTGATTGGGCGGCTCCCTAAGCATTGTGAATTTAGTCTCCCATGTCTCCCTGATGAGTGCTGGATGGGCTCATGAGGCATGAAACCTTTCTGAGAAAAGCAGATGATGGGGATGTGGGGACCTAGGGTATGCTCTCTAGTTGGTTAAATAAAGTGGCTGATAACTGGCATGTCCAAGGCAGCTGCCCAGCTGGAAGGAGTGGAGTCAATGCGACACACTCCTGTTTTGTTGATGAGGAGGGAGGGACAGAGGTGTCCCCTTTCAGAGAACTATAGCTTGTGTCAAGTTGACATGAAACTAACCAGCACAGCAGGATTCAAGACTGGAGCACACAGCTTAATCGATGTGGAAAATACTAAGGCAGCCTGCCTGGTCCCTGTTCCAGATGAGCCAGACGAACAGAAGAGTAGGAAGCAGTGAATGACAAGGGCCAAATGATGAGATATTGACACAAGGCAAAACATTTCAGGAAAAGATGGATGTTCATGAGCCATTGAGAGTCTCAACACCTGAGTGCCTGTGAGAGACACAGAGGTGAGCAAGTCTTACCTCACTAGAGGCAACCCTGCAGGACCTGAAACTAAGTTTGACAGATCCATGACGTTCAGCTCTACTGCATGAGACCTGGAAATGTGGGCAAGGCAGCCCACAGTTTCTTTTAGCCATTAGCAAGTGCAGAACCAAGCTTTGAACTCAGAATTCAAAGTCTGTGTTCTTGGAGCTGGCTTAGTCTGTAAGCTTGCCTTTGGAAGCAGGAGGACTTAAGACCAATCCCTACAACCCGTGTAACAGAGGGGACCGGTAGTGCTTGGGGGAGTCAAAGACAGGCACTTCCCTGGGCTCGGTGACCACCCAGCTTAGCCTGCTGGGTGAGTTACGAGCCAAAGGGAAAGAACTTGTAAAGTGCCTGAGGAAGAAAACTCATGCTTATGCTCTGGCCTCCATAAGCACATCCACATTCATGGTATACGTACACACACACACACACACACACACACACACACACACAGAGTCTGTGTCCTTGGATGGTTTAATGTCACACTTTATTACTCCACCACACAAAAGACACTTGGCACAGGCCACAAGTCTGAGCTGAACATCCTGAGACTGAGATGGGTTATGTCCCTCAGAACTCCCAAACTCAGATGTATGCACAGCTCCACTGTTTACCTAAGATATCTCTTTCCTGTTCTGAATGTCAGAACAACAACAACAACAACAACAACAACAACAACAAAATTGCTAGTCTTGGGGTTGGAAAGATAGCTCTGAGTTAAGAGCATGTACTGCTCTTCCAGAGGACCAGACTCACTCTAACTCCAGAGGATCTGATGCCCTCTACTGGCCTCCCTAGGAACTGCACTGTGGTGCACATACACACTTAGGAAATACCATCAAAAATAAAATAAAGACTTTAAAAATGTAGTCTCTACAAAACAAATAAGCAACTGTTTATTAATTACATGTCAGTTGTCTTCCTGTAGTTCCATCTGTCTAGTGTTATGTAGGTCTCCTTGGCTGCCATTTCCAAGTCAAGACTGATATTTCTCTGCTTCAGGATTTCTGTTAGAAATATTGACATTTTGGATTGGATTGTTTTTCACTGAGGGTTGTGAGACATGTAAGAGCCAAGAAATTTTCACAGATGCTCCATAAAGGGCAATATCTACAGAACATTCTCCATTTGAGATGTGCTATGTTATTGACAGCAAAAATGTGCAAAGAGCTGAAACACTGTATGAACTAGGCGGGGAACAATGTTAGGGACTGTGGGGTAAAATGCCAAGTATTTTTCTTTACCTAAGTGAGCACTGTAGATCAAAAGTTCACATTTTATTTTTCTTTAAAAAATGTCAAATTTGTATACAAAGTATAATATTGTTTTAATAAGTGTGTGTGTGTGTGTGTGTGTGTGTGTGTGTCTGTGTCTGTGTGTGCTTAATGTGTGGTGGGGAAAGGGTGCTTGCCATGATGTACCTATAGAGGTCAGAGGTCAACCTTCAGGAGTCAGTTCTCTCCTTCCTTTATTTGAGTTCTGCTTATTAAACTCAGGTCTTCAGGCTTGCAGAGCAAGCGCTTTTATTGGCTGAGCCATCTGGCTGGACTTCTATCCTTTTTTTTTTTTCCATTAATGTAACCTTGTAATTTTATTGTTTTAGTAATAAATTTAGCTTGGACAGAATGGCCCTGCCTCCTTTCATCTGCCAGTTCAAAATGCTTGCATTCTTAATAGCCAGCCTTCTCCTGTAGCTACAGGTGAGCATACCCCGCCTCAGCATGATCCTCCTTCTAGATGTAGCCTTTTTCCAGAAAATAGGTTTCATCGGCTTCCTATCCTCATGTCCCCCAGGCAGAGAGAGGCCCCCTTGCCCTTCCTGTAATGGGCCACTTTGAAGGGTTGGTGTTTCAGGAACCTTCGCCAGCATTGTGGGCGTGCTCTCAGCTCCAAAGCTTATGCACTTTCAATTACAACTGTATTTTTAAATTTTTTTTATAGTTTTGTTATTTTACATGTATGAGTGTTTTGCCTGCCTGAACATATGTGCACCGTGTGAGCCTGTGGTGTCCATGTTGGTTAAAAGAGGGTATCAGCTCCTCTAGAGCTGCAGTCGCTGATGGTTCTGAGCTACCTTGTGGTCGCTGAAAACCTAGCAGCATTTGTAACCCCTGAGTCATCTCCCCTGCCCCATGAAAATTACGTAAGCACATGCGGAGTTATATGTGAAGTAAAAAAGCAACAGAGTTTAACACAGAAGGAAAAGATTCTGAACTAAGTATTCAAAGTTTTACCACATCACCCCGAGAGAGATTCTACGAGCAAAACTGCCATTTCTCTGTGGCCTGAATCTCCTTCCTCCAGATTTTAGAAGGAGGACTGTGGGCTTTCGGTGTCTCGTCACTTCACCCAAGGCCACACGGTGTGTCGAGAAACTCACTGGGGTGTGTAGGGGCATCTTGGAATAAAAACCCCTATGTTTGTTGCTCTGAGAAACCAAATCATTAAACAGGGGTTCCTGACTAGTCAGTTTCCCATCTACAACAAGACCCTTGAGTGGTCAGCTTCAAGGAGGAAAAGACCATCTGTGCTCCTGGTGTCCCAGGGTTCAACCCCCGGCTGGCCACGTGGGCCCCTGAGAGCAGTGAATGGTGAAAAGCCTTGTGGAGGAAGCCTTTATCACTGTTATAAAACACCTGCCAGAAGCAAGTTTAAAGAAGGAAACATGTATCTAGGGTATGTGGTTTAGGGGTGGATACTGTCCCTCCTGGCAGAATTGGCAAGGACGTAGGAGTGGCGTGTGCAGCTGGTGACATGACATCTAGATTCAGAAAGCACAGGACCCCAGTAGAAGGAATGACCCTAACTCCCCAGAGCCTCTGAATCCCACAGCTCCACCTCCGACTTCTAGGTTACATGTCGGAAAGACTCCACAACGTCCCAAAACAGCACTGCCAGTGGGGATCAGCTGTTCCCACGGGAGCCTGTAGTGAACATTTCACGTTCAAATCACACCAGTCAACTTACCCATTCTATAGTATTTTAAATTATTGTTATTTATGTGTAGGGGAGGTGTGTGTGTGTGTGTGTGTGTGTGTGTGTGTGTGTGTGTGTCTAGGTGCAATAAGGAGTCAGAGGCATATCAGATTCCTTGAAGCTAGAGTTATAGGAAGTTGTAAGCTGCCTGATACAGGTGCTGGGACTTGAACTCAGGTCCTCTACATAACCAATATGCACTCTTGACCGCTGAGGCATCTCTCCAGTCCCAGCACCATATTTTTAAGGCAGGACATCTTCACTGAACACGGCGCTTGTCATGTCACCCAGGCGGGCTGGCCAGCAAGCCCCCAGCACCCACCTCTCCCCATCTTTCCAGCTCTGGGCTTACAGCTACACGGCACCACATCTGGCTTTTATGTTGGCTGCTGGGAACCAAACTTGGGTCCCCTTGGGAGAGCAGCGAGTGCTCTTAACTACTGGACCATGCCTCCAGCTCCTATGGAAACATTTCTTCACCTTAAGTTGTGCATTTGTTTGACTTCAGTTGGAAAGAATGATGGTGGAGGTGCAATGGGTGAATGGGCTGTTCATCCAGAAGAGTAAGTTGTGGCAGCTGTGAAATCTGAGAGGAACCAGAGTGTAATGCATTTTCCCTGTCGTTTCAGAGAAATGTATAACCACTTCACGAACCTGTACCCGCAGCTGATCAAGGACCCTTCTATCATTGACAAAGTGCAGAACTTCATGAAGTACGTATGAAAGCCTCCCGCTCTGGTGGCCAGGGCCACCTGCAGTTCCTCACTGGCTGGATCTCATTCTGTCTGTTAGCAGAGCCTTTCTTGCTGGAGGGGCCACCTTTTCTGTCATGGACCAAAACCTGCTTGCTAGCAATTTTGGCTCTTTCAGGGGTCAGGTTCAAGGTCACATTACCAATGGCCGAAACAGCCAGAAGGCACCAGCAGTGACAAGCAGGCAAAGTCAGATCCCGGAGGCTCCCACGTGGGGGGCCCTCACTTTTGCTCTAGGCACCCCTTCTCCTCCTTCGGTAAGGGGTTTCTGGGTCGTGAGCCCGGCAACTAACTCCCGCTGGGTGCGGAAGAGTATCTCCAATCCTAAACTGGTGGTTGGGGAGACGGAGAGGCTCTTCCTATGCAGCCCAGACTGACCTCAGATTGAAGATCTCCTGCCTCGGACTCCAGAGCACACAGACTGCCTATATACCCAGCTCTGAAGCCAGACTTAATGCTTTCTGGGTTTTTTTTTTTCATTTTAATTAATTTTTTAAGGTTTATTTATTATGTATACAGTGTTCTGCCTGCAGGCCAGAAGAGGGTACCAGATCCCATTATAGATGGCTATGAGCCACCATGTGGTTGCCGGGAATTGAGCTCAGGGACCTCTAGGAAGAGCAAACAGTGCTCTTAGCCTCCGAGCCATCTCTCCAGCCCCCTTAATTTCTTGAAGAGTAAATTTTAAATGTAATTGAATCAGTGGCATGGCAGATTCTTCTGGGGACACAAAGGTTCTTGTGTGTTCTGCTGAATCACATATGATACATCCCATCCATGAAGGGCTAAAAAGGGCACAAGCATCAGACAAAAAACTACGCGGTTGGCTCCTTCCCTGAGCTGTGCACTGGATTGTCTTAGGAATAGTGGCACCCTAAACAAACCAGAGATAGCTTTCAGCTTTCTGTATGAAAAATGATGTCAAACCGTTACATCATCCCACAAAACAAAACAACAACAACAAAAAAACAAACAAACAAACAAACGAACAGCAACCATGACAAAACAGGATTAAAGGAAGTAAAAATGAAAGCACAATCAAAATAACTCATTTGGGGGGGCTGGAGAGGTGGCTCAGCAGTTAAGAGCACTTCAGCAAGGGCTTGTTTGTAGACCGTCTTGTAAATGACCTGGGTTCTGTTTCCGGCACCCGCAGGGCTATTCACAACCATCTGTAACTCCAGCTCCAGGGAATCCAATGCCTTCATCCGTCCTCCGCAGGCACAGCACATGCATGCTGCACAGACAGATGTGGAGGCCAAACACTCACACACACACATTAAAAAATAAAGAATAATCTTCTTTTTTTTTTTTTTCTCTGAGAAGGCTAAAACAGAAATGTTGAGGCAGATGCGGATAAGTCGAATGGAGAGCTCTGTGAGAAAAGCGGACTGTGTTTCGGCCACCTCATCCTCAGGAGCGTTTCTCCATTGGCTGTCTTCATAGGAAAGTAAACTTAATCAGCCTGTCTTTATTGACTTGCTGACACATGCTTTAAGAAGTGTGTAGTGACAGCTGTGCCTGGCTGTCAAAGGTTAGCATCACACTCATCGCTCCAGACAGGGCCCCAAGAAAGCTACGGAAGAGTCAGCGTCCTGGGGTGAAATTAGAAATAGTCTCAAGTTTGTGCTGAACTCCCTTTGAGTGGTGACAGTGTAATGAAAATGCATAATTTCATTATGCCAACGTGTGCGAGTGTGTGACCTCTAGACTCCCGGCTTGATGTGGCTTTGAGTGAGCCACCGTTGAGACCTGTGGTGAAATCTAATGTCTCCCCCAGGAAACAAGATCTGTGGACGAGGAAAATGATCAAAGAAGAGAGGAATGACCCTTTCTGGAGACACACAGGCTACGTGCTGGCACAGCTGGACGGGCTGTATGTGGGAGCGCTGAAAAGGGCTACAGTAGATAAAATAAAGGTAAGACTTTAAAAGGTGACTCAGGATTTTTGTGGCCTTCATGGTGAAAAAAAAAAAAAAGAATTTAATCCAAGGGTTAGCGATATGGTTAGTGGTAGAACGATTCTCTAGCATCTTCTGGGTTCTAGCCCATGCTCCATAAACCAAACCAAACGAAAATGTCCTCGTCCAATTGTCCTTCTTACAGAAACCCATTTAAATCAATCCAACCGACCAAACAAAAAAAAAAAAAACAAGTCAAATATCAAGGCCAACCTGGGCTACTTGATCACTTCCAAGCCAACTCTCTTGACAAAGAAAAAAAGCATTCTAAGTAGCAGACCAAACTGGGACCAGAATACACACGCCTCACATATAAGCGCCATTTTATAAGTCATGCTGTGACATCCAGGTGCCCAGCACAAGGGTGTGGTAACACACCAAAGTTTGTTTCTGTGCTTTTCCAGCTTTTTCTATACACAGCTCATTCTGGAGTTAAAGGGCCAGTTACACAGTTACAGCTTTTCTAGTGTTGTAGGATGTCTGCTCATTAGGACGAAATGAGCAGCGTATAAATTCTGATCGCCACGCCTGGTGACAGTCCCTTAAGCACACAAGTGTGCACTTTTATGTGCATTCATTCTGAGAGGAAACTGACAAGCCGAGGTGCCTAAGACACCAGTTGACATAGTTTTGGAAGTTAAGGATATTTTGTTCCCTTAGGGTAATGTCTGATGAGTGTGTGTGTGTGTGTGTGTGTGTGTGTGTGTTAATTTGAAAAAAGTTCACCACAGTGATGTTCCTGATTTTTAATGACAGGAGCTCACCCTTGCTCATAAATTAGAAATACAGCTTAAAAGCTGGGCGTGGAGGCACACACCTGAAACTCCAGCCCAGGGGATGTGGAGGAGAGAGGATCAGGAGTTCAAGTCCATTGTGGTGGTTAGTTTGAACTGCAAACACCACAAAGGAGAATCCTGAGGGGTTGCCTAGAGCAGGCTAGCCCCCGGACCTGCCTGAGGGGGGCTGTCTGATTGTTAACTGAGATGGAAGATCCCACCCAGAATGTGGGTGGCACTGCTTGGTGGGCTGTGCCCTGGGGTGTGTAAGGACAGAGAGTGCTAGCTGAGTAGCAAGACCACTGTCGGGTATCTGTGGGTGTGGGTTGACTTCCCTGAAATGTAAGTGACCTGGACTTGTAAAGCCACACTAAAGCCTTTCTTCTCCAGATAGTTTATCACATTGATATTAATGAAACTAGAACAGCCATCTTCAACTGCATAGTGAATGTTAGGCTAGCCTGGGCTACATGAGAACCTCTGTTTGCTATCTAGTTTTATGTCAACTTGACACAGGCTGGAGTCATTTAAGAGTGGGAACCTTAATTTAAAAAAAAAAAAAAGTCTCACTAAGACAAGGCTGTTGGCAAGCCTGTAGGGCATTTTCTTAATTGGTGATTGATGGGGAAGGGTCCAGCCCATTGTGGGTGGTGCCATTCCTGGGTTGATGGTTCTGAGCAGTAGAAGAGAGCAGGCTAAGCCAGGGAGAGCAGGGGCTCCCCTCCCTGCCCTGTGCATCAGCTCCTGCCTCTAGGTCCCTGCCCTGTTTGTGTTCCTGTCCTGACTTCCTTTGCTGATGGAATAGTAATAAGGAAATGTACGCTTTTTGGTTATGGTGTTTCAGCACAGCAATAAAAACCCTAACTAGGATACTGTATAAGAAAGAGAGAAAGGAAGAATAAGGTAGGGAGGAGAAGAAAGGAGGAATTACAAAACCTTCATCCTGATAGTTTCTCAGGCTGTGGGGAAAGAAGGCCCTGCCCTAAAACACTGGCTAGAGTTTCTGTGCTTCAGATGAAATCCAGGTACCTGTGTGCCCTCTGAAGCAGAAATCCCCCTCTAGCGTCATCACAGGACACACTGGCAAATTTACAATGAGGAGGTGTGGGAAGCTGCTCATTACAGGTCACGTGTCACAGCTCAAGATTTGAAACTATCCAGACGCAGGGAGAAGCAGCCATACAAATGAAGTACCCTGATAGATCCAGGCTCTGCGAACAGCCTGGGGGGTTCTTAGTAAGTATGAAAGGAAGTGAGATGAAGGCAGTGTTTCTCACATGCTGCCTCTACAGAAGGAAGATAACAATGGATGGAGGAGGGGATAGAGTTGGTAGAGCTTTCCGACAGAGAGTAAGCAGTGAGTCCAATGACCTGGTTAAGAGTAAAATCCCTTGCTGCCAAGCCTGGTGGTCTGGGTTCAGTCACTTGTGGGCACAGGGAGAAGCAACCCCCACAAATTAGCCTCTGACCTCTGCATGTGCACAATGACATATGTACACACACTCACACACTTCCCACCCCCAACACACACAAAAATACATACTTTAAACATTTTTAAAGAATAAACCCTAGGGTTCTGCAGAGATGGCTCGGCAGTTGAGAGCACCGGCTGCTCTTGCTGAGGACATGGATTTGATAGTCCCAGCACCTGCAATTGCTTTTACAACATCTGTGACTCCAGTGCCCTCTGCTGGCCTCCTTGGGTACTGAGTGCATACAGTGCACAGCCATAAAGGCAGAGAAAACATCTATTCACATACTCACTTATATAGACCTATAAGATATGATGAACATAATGAAATCTATACACCTAAAAAAGATAATCAAGAGAGCGGACATGGGGTAAGATTATCAATCCTCATTTAGAAAGACAGATGGGATGTGCATTGAACATATGACAGGAGTCTACTGAGGGCATTTGAAAGACTCTAACTAGCAGTGTTTTCAAAGCAAAGACTCATGACCAAACCTTTGGCAGAGTACAGGGAATCATAAGAAAGAAGGGGAGTTAGTCTGATAAGGAAATGATAGAAGCTCCACAAGGACCAAATATATCTGGGCACAGGGTCTTTTCTGAGACTGACATGCAACCAAGGACCATGTATGAATGTAACCTAGAACCTCTGCTCAGATGTAGCCTGTGGTAGCTCAGTAACCAATTGGTTTCCCATAGTGAGGGGAACAAGGACTTTTTCTAACAGGAACTCAATGACTGGCTCTTTGGCCTCCCCACCCCCCAAGGGAGGAGCAGTCCTGTTAGGCCACAGAGGAGAGCTTTGCAGCCAGTCCTGAAGATATCTAATAAAACAGGATCAGATGAATGGGGAGGAGGTCCCCCCTATTTGTGGACTTGGCAAGGGGCACGGTGGAGATGAGGGAGGGAGGGAGGGACTGAGAGGGAATGAGGGATCGAGACATGGCTGGGATACAGAGTTAATAAAATGTAACTGATAAGAAAAAAATAAAATTAAAAAAAAAAAGAAAAAAAATAAAAAAAGAAAGTGAACTACAAACAAAAAAAACTTTAAACCAATAACTCAAAAAAAAAATAAAAATAAAAATAAATAAAAACTTAAAAAATAAAAAATAAAAAGCTAAAACTTCAAAAGCCTATAAAAGACGAAAGTGAAAAGGATGGAGCAGAGACCACATTTCCTCAATGGAACTTGCTTGGTAGGACCACACTGGTCCTGATTACAAACCACAATTTAACAGCAAAGAAAAGCAACCTTTAAAAAAAAAAATGTGAGGTGAGGAAAATGAAGCAAATATACCTAACCTTTAAAGTTTTCTGTTTTACTTTTTGATATCATAATATAATTACATCACCTCCTTCTTCCCTTTCCTCCCTCTAAACCCTCTCACGTACCCCCCCATGATCTCTTTCCAATTCATGAGCTCTTTTTTTCATTAACTGTTGTTATATACATAAGTGTATTGTGTACATACATACGTATATATTCCTAAATGCATAAGTGCAGCTGGCTGCTCTCCCTATCTCGTTGGGCCCTCTGTTCTTATTGTCCTTGTTCAACTGGTGTTGAAGAAGTCACGTTGGTGACGCTTCATGGGTGTGGCCTCTGACTCTGACACAGTGTCACAGAGAAGTCCCTGCTTTCCTGCCTCTTAGCATCTTTACACTTCTTCTCCCACAATGATTCCTGAGCCTTAGACGCAGGAGTGTTTTGGAAACGTTTCCTCTGGGACTGGGCCCCACGATTGTGTTTTCATTGGCTGTGGTTTTCTGCAGTGGTTTCCATCTGTTGCAAAGAGACATTTCCTTGATGAAATTTGTGAGGACTACAGTTACCTGTGGGTATACGGACAAACGTCTAAGTTTTTAGCAGAAAGAAACAAACATGGGAATAAATTGTTGTGTGTGGTAGTTCGTTCCTATAATCTGTGCACTTGGAGGGTGCTGGGGCAAGAAATTTCTTTGAGTTCTTAACCAGCCTGACTATGTAGCAGAACGATGTCTCAAGAGGCAACAAAAGAAAAAGGCTGGAGAGGAGGCTCATCCATTAAAGGCGCTTCCTGTTTTACCAGAGAACCTGGATTTGCCTCCAGGCGCCCAGGTCAGGCTGCTCACATCTGCCTGTCACTCCAGCTTCAGCAGGTCCAATGGCTCTGGCCTCCTCAGGCACCCACACCCATGTCCACATACCCATCCATGTGCATGGGCCCACACACACGTATGCATAATTTAAAATAGTAAAAATAAATATGTATTTTAAAAAGAGAACAGACATGAAAGAAAAACAAACAAATCAGTGTCGTGTTTTAGTTCGAATGAGGATGGCCCCCAGAGGCTCGTAGATTGGAACACTTTATCAGCCCAGTTGCTAGAACTGTTTGGGAAGGATCAGGAGATGTGGCTCTGTTGGAGGAGGTGTGTCACTGGTCCCAGTTAGGGCTCCGTGCCTTGTGCTCCTGGAGCAGAGGTAAGCTCTCAGCTGCCGCTCCAGAACCAAGCCTGCCTTCCTGCTGCCATGATCCTCAATGTGACAGTAATGAACTCTAACCCTCTGCAACCAGGAGGCCCAACAAACTCTTTCTTTTACAAGTCACCTCGGTCATGGTATCTCTTCACGGCAGCAGAAACGTAACCGAGGCAGCTTATGAATGTTTCACCAAAAACAAGGGCATGGACTGAGGAGATGGCTCTGTGGATAAAGCACCAGCTGTGTAACCCTGAGGACCTGAGTTCAGATCCTCAACGAGCGTGGGCTGAAAACCCAGCACTGTTCGTGTCTGGAGAGTAGACAGTAGGCCTCTCCGTGAAAGAGTCACCCTGGCCAAGGCCGAACACTGCCTCACCCGAGGAGGCCCTGCAGGAGAGCACCAGCAGAGGCTCTGTTTGCCGGCAAGGAATCTCACCCCGGAATCTGTGCTGACACACCTGTGCTGACTTCCTTCCTCAGTCATAAAGGCAGGAAGTTAGTTTGGCAATGACAGTGACAGGCAGGTACACCTGTCGCAACGTCACACTCACACCCTGCACGTGACAATAACTGAGCAGGGCATTAGCAACAGAAAAGGGCAAAACTGACCCGTGTCACAAGTCCGTGCTCAGTGCCGCCATGTGTCCTTTCACAGCCCATGACGATGACCCAAATTCAGTTCCTGAATGCCGTCGGTGACCTGCTGGACCTCATTCCCTCCCTCTCCCCCAAAAAAGAGAGCAGCTTGAAGGTGTTTAAGAGATGGGACATGGGCCACTGCTCTGCATTGATAAAGGTGAGCTCTGCGGCCCTTCTCCCCTGCCAGCCCACACATTCTTATTAGCATATATATATGTACTACACACCGTAACAGATGTCACACACTTTCTCCGTACGTCTGTCACCCATGTACAGCAAACCTCTCCTCACCCATGTCAGGAGGTGAACCACTCTGTGGCTCCTCCGTGGTAGAAGTTAGGAAGTCACCAGAACTGGGATGGAGGGAATTAGACACACTACTGTTTCCTTCCACAATTCTGCCAATGCTGTTCACACGTGCCGTTCCAGCCTTCCAGGTTCTTCTGTTTTACACACCAGCAGGACGGTCTGTGTTGCTTACATTAAAGACTAATATTGCACTCATTGGCCATGCTCTCCAATAATAAAGAAAGCAACAGCAGCGGAGGAGATCGGTAGTGCATTGGGTGATGGGCTTTTGCTGCCAAGCCTGAGGACCTGAGTTCAATCCCTGAGATCCACATGGTGGAGAGAGAGAGCTAACTCCCAGAAACTGTCCTCTGACCTCCACAGTGCATGCCACGGCGCACTCACACCCACAGGAATACATTTACACACACACGCACCTAAATGAATCTAATTACTTTTGAGAAGAGAGTAGCATCAATATTTACCAAAGTTGACAAATGCCCTGAGCGCCTCCTACAGGTAGTACGTACATGCTTAGCACAGGCCTGCGTTACTTAACTGTGATTCTGACCGCAGGTCCTGCCTGGATTTGAGAACATCTATTTTGCCCACTCCAGTTGGTACACGTACGCAGCCATGCTCAGGATCTACAAACACTGGGACTTCAAAATCAACGACAAATACACCACCAGCAGCCGGCTCTCCTTCAGCAGTTACCCGGGTAAGCAAGTTCTGAGCGCTTTTTCAAAATAACACTTTGGTGACCCGAAGTTAACTGGGGGGAAGGACTAAGTGTGCACATCGGGGGTACAGTCTGATCTGTAGAGTGTTGTTTGAAGACACAAGGTCGTCTACAGTGACAGGTGTGGGTTTACAGAGCTGACAGGCAGCAAGTGCCTTGCACATATAAGTAGACATGAAGAATGTATCTCGAATACAACCTAGAACTCAAGTCTGCGTTCCCTGGGCTGTGTGGCACTAGCAGACAAACTCAGCAGGCCCTGCTTTCGGTGTCTCCATTTCCCTCATTCACAGCACCGTGTCCGTTATATCACCTGGCTTGTGACCCCCTAGAACTCGGTCATTTTGCTAACGGGGCGATAGTAGGTAGACCTTTAGGCCTTCCTATAGGCAAGAGCTGGAGCAGATGCTCACACGTATCTACAGTCAGGAAGCAGAGAGAGATGAATGCTCCCGGTGAGTTCCCTTTCTTCTGTCTGTCCAGTCCGTGACCCAAGCCTAGGGAAGGGGGACACTGGCTTGTAGGGTGGGTCTTGCCCACCTTAACCTAGGAAGACAGCCCTCCACAGGCTTAACTGGAGGCTAAGCGGGTGTAGATAACCCTCACAGGCATGCCCAGGGGGTTGCCTCCTGGGCCATCCAAGAGCCCATCAAGTTGATGATCGATATTAACCATGGTGGCTGAGTAGCCCGAGGAGGGAGAGCGCCCCAATCACTTTATGGGGAAAGACATGGATGCTTGAGATGGCAGCAGGTACTGGCTAGGATTAGAACTGAGGAGCAGGACGAGGTCTCAGAGGGAGAGGAGGGCTTGCAAAGGCTGACGCCTAAAAGAGACGTGGGGATTGTCAGTGGAAGGGTCAAGATAACGAAACAGAGAGGCACACAACTCTAGCGAACACTGGGCATGTTGAGAGGGACAGCTACTCAGCTCCCGCTGACAGGGGCAGGGGTGTGGGGCCAGCATTTCCAGAGTGCCAATGTCATGAGAACAGAATATAGATTTTAGGCTAAGCACAGTGATGCATGAGTCTAGTCCCAGCACTTGGAAGGCAGAGGCAGGCAGGTCCTTGTGATTTTGAGGTCAACCCAAGCTACAACAGAAAGTTCCATGCCAGCTAGGACTACAGAGTGAAATCCTGGAGTGGGGGGCAAACAGAAAGAGAGGGAGGGAGAGGAAGAAAAGAGAAAGAAAGAAGAAAGAACAAAGACAGAAAAGGAACAGGAAGGAAGGAAGGAAGGAAGGAAGGAAGGAAGGAAGGAAGGAAGG